ACAGCCAGGTCTCCATCACTGAACTGCCGCGGGAAGGGGCACAGACCATCCCGCCTGTGTCCAAGGAAGATGCCAGGCACCCAGCAGCCTCCTAATAACGCTGGTGCAGAGCGCAGCTGGCTTCCTGTTCCATTACACGCCTCGTCCTGATTCTGGTTCATTGAATATCTTATCTGTAACGTGACACTAACTTTTTTGTATGCTTCGTGGCAGTGGGGTGCTCAGAGGGGTGGGGTGGGGTCCTGTGGCAGTGGGGCATGACTATGCTGAACCCTGTTATGGGTCCAGCCTACTGGTCCATGATCCAGTGCCAGAGAGCATGTGACTACAAGTTTGTCTAAAAGAATTTATTTTACTTAAATAATGAACAAAAGGAGAATGAATGAATGAAAGGAAGTAATTTCCTACCTAGAAGCACTTGAGATGCAACATTGAGTTCTTGTGAAAAGAACCAGTAGTTTCATTGTAAGCTTGCTTCTTGATTAAAAATAGTCATTGACTCTAAATCACAGACAGACTGGAAAATCTTGGTTCTGATTTGTCCATGGAAGCAGTTTTCTTTGTCTTGTTCTCGCTTGTAGCTCAGTTGTGGGCTGTGTCAGGTAGTGTAAAAGCAGGTACACATAGGCTAGCATACTTTTCATTATCATGTACATTTTTGAGTACTTGTATTCTTTCATTTTTTTATTTTTTTTGGCTACAGCTATCAGTGAATGAGATTCAGTGCTGTTTGGTGGACCTTTTATAAATCTCCTTTACTCCTTTCAAACCTCAAATGCATTGTGGAAATGATACTTATGAACAATTGTAGTGCAAACTATTCCCCTGTTGGTATTGAAAGTGTTCTTTGGGCAACTTAGGTTGTGCCTGCCTTAGTTCCTTTTTGTATATGAAAAACTTCATGCTGTGTTGGGTATTTCTAGTACCCAACAGTGGAAATACTAGCATAGACAACACTCCAAGCCTTAGCCTTTCTTCAAAGTGCCATATAGTGAAAACTCTTGGAGCAGATCTCCACAAAAGAATGGCAAAAAAAACCTGTTGCTTTGCATACAGTAACACTACATCCAGTGAAGCTTCACCAGTGTTAGCAATGCTGGGAATTTTTTTCTGTCAAAAGCATGATGTCAACAAAGCGTAAGTGAGGAAGCCGTGTTGGCTGACAGTAGTACATTTAAATAGTTTAGTTTGGGCCATTTGTGATCCGGTCCTTTTGTGTCTCAGGTTTACCTGTGGATATGGCTTGCTTCTAGGAAAATGAAGTACATTTAAACTGCATGGCATTATAGATTGCAGTGCATAGGAAATCTTTTGTTTTTGAAAGTGGGTTTGAAAAAATGGGTCAAGAAATATGGTATTGCTTAGAATAATGCAGTGAGTGAAAATAAGGTAGTGCTGAACATTTTATAATCAGTAAAAGGTAGCTTTTTCATAATAGAAATTATTTTTACTGTTCTAAAATTTATATTTCTAGCTTCTGGTCACTGAAATACATGAATATGGCAAACTTCAAGGTGCGACTTATGCTAAACCTTTTTCCTTTGAGCGTGCCGATGAAAAAGCAGTATAGAAAAGTCTGAATAAAAGAGCACATTGACATAAACAAGATGTTTACATGTACAAGCACGGAATTGACTCAACATGTTGAAACCAATAGATCAATATTTTGATTAACTTTTTCTGTAAAGAGTAGAGACTTTTAAAACAACTGCATAGAGTAATTGAACAGAGTGGTGACAAACATGGCTTCTAATGCAAGATGGAACATGTCCAAGATTTGTTAATTTGCTTATATGGTGAAACTTTGACAGAGCTGTATGTGCATATATGTAATGTCTTATGCGTGTGTGTATTCCTGACGTGTAACTGATGCATTTAGTCTGATTACCTTATAGCTGGGTGTATGGTTGGCATGTTAAGAATAAATTTGTTTGCCCTAAAGTGACAGTTTATTGCAGGAAGTCAAACTAGGTTTTTTCATTGCTAATACTGTACAGGTTCCCTAGAATCTTTCTGGTACACAAAATCTGTTACAGGACTGTGATCATGAAGTAACTCTGCCTTACTGAGGTTTGAAATGATTAGTAATAAATAATGTAGCTGGCAATATAATTTTAAAATGGGCTCTTTTGCAAGATTAGAAGCACACTGAGAACTAGAAATAAGGAAGATAACATGATTAGGAGACCTATTCGTTATTTTGTATGATGATTATTTCAGAGGAGGTAATTGGGGAACTTTTTATTTGCCCGTTATCTTAGTACAACAATGAATTGAAAAGGGACTAATAAAGAACTAATTACTTGAGCATGTGATTCTATAAGTATCCACTATGGAGTATTTTGCTCCTTGTAAAATATCTATTATGGGTCACTGTCAGAGAAAGATACAAGACTTAAATGTGTTTCTGAATAGCAATCACTTTCTTCCCTCTAGATCTTTGACCTGTACCAAAGCTAAAACACCTTAGATCTTGTTGGCTATCCTAAATTTATAATTTTAAATATTCTAAATTTAACTTTCCAGGATTTGAATGTATGCATCCCTGCAAATCAGGAAGATTTGTCCTTATCAAAGCTTCAAAACATGCTAATAATATTGTCAGAGGCTCTTGACCTTTCCAGACCACTGTCTTGTCTTGTATACCCCCAAGTTTCATCTCATTTAAAAACTACTTGCTTATGAAATCAGATATTTAAAAAACCCAAGTGTCCCAGTACACTATTACAGACAAATTACTTTCTCATTTTATACCATGTAATTATAAAATAAGCCAATTGGAATATTAATGTAGTGCTTACATTTTTGTGTATAATCTATAAACATTCATTGTATGAAATTTAGTTTTTACTGTTCTTTGCTAGTGCTTTTTTTTATGTAGCCTGTCAAAGGAGGCAAATATCTAGATGAGTTAATGTGCTCCTTAGACCTCGCAGTTGAGAACCACTTCTATTAGTGATGCATTATCACAATAACAGTAGTCTACATGCATTTTGTTCAACTGGCTTGTAATATCTTTTCGATTACTTTCATTTAATTGCCCTTGGATCACACATACTTTTGGTTCCCTTTTTTCATCCGTTTTGATTGCCTACATCCCAAGATCTTATTTTGTTTGTTTTTGGCTCAGATGAAGTGATCTTCAATTTGTTTTTGAATAGTAATTTGTAAATAACAATTTAATATGAACTCCTGAAAAGATCTGAAGTAAATTCACTTGGACTTGAAGACTAAATATTTAAAGACAAAGTTAGGGAGTTGTCAGATTTAAGTACATAAACACAGAGTTGTTTGTAACTAGACCTTTAAGTAAACTGTCAAGAGGCAAGGACTTTTTTTAACACCGCATGGATGTCTAAGGTAGCCCTGTGATAGAAATGTAGCCGCGTTAGTCTGGTGTAGCTGAAGCAAAATACAGAACTATGTAGCACTTTAAAGACTAACAAGATGGCTTATTAGGTGATGAGCTTTCGTGGGCCAGACCCACTTCCTCAGATCAAATAGTGGAAGAAAATAGTCACAACCATATATACCAAAGGAAAAAAAATGAACACATATGAAAAGGACAAATCAAATTTCAGAACAGAAGGGGGAGGGGGTGGGGGAGGTAAATGTCTGTGAGCTGATGATATTAGAGGTGAAGCTATCTTTGTAATGGGTAAGATAACTAGAGTCTTTGTTGAGACCCCCCTGCTCAAAGTGTCGAGTTTTAGCATGAATAACCGTTCAGAGGATTCCCTTTCAAGTGCAGTTTTAAAAAGGCTCTTGAAGCAGGATGCAGGTAATTAAGTCATTGAGACAATGTCCTTTCTGGTTGAAATGGCAAGAAACTGTTTTTTTCTTTGTGATCCTGTCTGATATCTGTTTGGTGGGCATTGATCCTTTGGCGAAGTGTCTGAGAGGCTTTTTCAATGTACGGAGCAGACAGACACTTTCGGCACGATAGCATAAATTATATTTCTGGATGCGCAGGAATATGTGTTCTTGATCTTATAACTCTGTTAGGTCCAATAATGGTATCAGTAGAGTGAATATGTGGACAAAGCTGGCAATGGGGTTTGTTGCAAGGGAAGGTACCAGAGTTGGTATTAGTGTGGTATGCCCTGTCTTTCTGGATCACATGGGTGTCAATGACTAGTTTAAATGTACATTATCTTTTCTGAGATAATGAATTACCAAACTCAAGAGTCTCAACCATGTACCTTTATGCAGCATATTTCAAAGAAACCTTAGTTAGGAACCCACATTCCGTTGAAGGAGAGTTGGCATCTAATTTCTTTAAGCTCCTTTGACAATCCCAGACATAGTGAATGGGTCCTATGCTGTGGTAGTGAAAGGAATCCGAGGTAAGGAATTGCTACCAATTCTGCTGAACTGTGATGTGTATTGTAAGGTTTAAATCTGGTGCAAAAATGTTGTTTTGACTTAGCCCAGCCCATAGCCTATGTTAGCGTCTAACGTGGTGGAGGCCAACCTGCAGCCTACTTCATGTGGGTTGCCAGATTCTGCTGGTTTCTGTCTGCATAGGTTTTTTTTTTTTCTCACTGGTATTACTAAAGTGACACTCATGAAGTGAGGTGCATGCTGATTACACACAACGCTGACTGAATGATGGGTGTTCTTTTTGCATCCAGTCAGAGCGCTGCTCCAGTTCATTTGCCAAGCCCTGCAAATTCTAGGCATGCAAATGCAGTTAGCTAAACTGCCTATCCCAGGAGACAGTCTTGCAGCCCACTGAGATAAAGGAAGGCCACTCCTGCGTCCCACTCACTAGCTTAGGTTGCCCCTCACTGTTCTAGCACATCTCTAAAACCCACATTACTGATGGGAGGAATGTAAATTCCCGTTTAATTGGTTAACCGGTTAAATGTTAAAAGGGGGGGTAGGGGTGAGTGGTTCCTGCCTACAACGCACCTGGGCCCCTCCGTTAACGGGCTGGTCCGCGTGGCTGGAGAGCCACTTTTCTGTGCTTTGAAAATTTAAACTAGGGATGTAAGCGACTAGTCACTTCACTCGCCTCCCCAGTCCTGCCACCTCTATCAGAGGCAGTAAGGGGGGGGGGGAGAGCTGGTTTATAAGCTGGTTCGACCAGCATCATTTCCATGGGGGGAGGGGGACAGAGGCATGCCTGCTGCTGTGCCTCTACCCTTCTAATGTACAAGAGCCACAGGTGGCTCTTGTACATTTCAAAAGGAGAGGAACAGTAGCAGGGACCCCCTTGTTGTCTAATCAAGTAGTTGATGGAAATTCCATTAGCTACTTGATTAATTGAAATTTAACATCCCCAATTTACAGCAATGTAAAGAAATCTAGAAATTCCAGTGTACTTTTGCTTAATATTGGCAAAGGTGTAGAAGGCCTGGTTCCTGCTCCAAATAGCTTGCCAAAGATATAAGATGAGACTTTCCATATTAATGTAACAAAGTGGGAGAGGACTAGAAGAGGACGACTGTAGCTGTGCACACAACCTTACATACAGTTCTGAACTGAAACAAATCTTCTGTCTTTCTATATAATCTAGCAGTAACAATGGCCAAGGTTGTCTGTTACGTCCATTTTAGCCATCTTTCAAATGGATATTTTACTGCGCCTGGTTTCTTTCCAATAGTGAAATTGTGCTTGGAAAAGACAAGCAAAATTTTTTGTGAAATTAATATCTTTCCCTGTCCAAACTACTTAAATCTGCAATTTTAAAAAACAGCTTTAGGCTTATAGAAGCAGGTGAAGGAAGTTGAAACTTTTCATGGGATTAGTCCTTAAGAAGCTAGCTGCTTGGTAAAAATCGGTCTTGATTTGGTTGCTTTTTCAAGCTTTTGCTTTTGTACAGTAGAGTTGATCTGAGTTAAGCAAGCTTGAATTGCAAGTGCAGTGTGGCCATGCTGTGGAAATGCCAGATCATCATGGAAGTATAAGCTTAACTCCTTTCTCTTCTGACCTGTTGTAGAGATTTCCAAGCAATTGTCAGAAACATGAGCTCATAAAAATTGCTGTTTCTTTCCTTGATAAAAGGCCTTTTTTAGCTTATGCAGCAATTCTCAAACTTCATTTGCACCATGACCCTCTTATGACAACAAATGTAGAGCAGAGCCTGAGCTGTCATATCAAGCATATGTTGGGGGTGGGGAAGGGAAGGCAGAGCCCGAGCCCTAGCCCTGCCAGCCTGGGCTAGAGCCCTTCAGCTTCGGCTTCATCCAGGAGTGATGGGATTCAGGCCTGGGCTTTGGCTCTGGGCCCACCAGCTCTCGCTGACCCTGGAAATCACATTTAAAATGGAGTCATGACCAATTTTGGCATCCCAGTCCACGGTTTGAAAACCACTGGGTAATGAGCACAAAACAGGGAGGCAAGATTTCTTCCTCTTTCTGGCATCAATTGCTGTTCCTTCATTAGGGTAGCCTCTGCATACCTACTCCTGGGATAAATCCTGGGTAAACTTCTGAATCTTATCAGGCCCTTGTGCACCATGGCACTTGAATGGTTGACACCTGGTGTTGCACAAGGGAGGCATGACTCAACTACTTCACTTCCTTCCTGTGGTTAGGCTGCATGGAGAGGAATCTTTCTCTTAGA